TAGAGGAGACAAATAGAGATAGGAGGAGACAAATAGAGATTAAAGGAGACAAATAGAGATAGGAGGAGACAAATAGAGATAGGAGGAGACAAATAGAGATTAAAGGAGACAAATAGAGATTAGAGGAGACAAATAGAGATAGGAGGAGACAAATAGAGATTAAAGGAGACAAATAGAGATTAGAGGAGACAAATAGAGATAGAAGGAGACAAATAGAGATAGGAGGAGACAAATAGAGATTAAAGGAGACACATAGAGAATAAAGGAGACACATAGAGAATAAACGATAATATATAGAGGTTAAAGGATAATATATAGAGGTAAAAGGAGACACATAGAGATTAAAGGAGACAAATAAGAGATTAAAGGAGACAAATAAGAGATTAAAGGAGACAGAGAAGGAGACAAGAGGAGACAAAGAAAGAGGTACAGAAGGAAATAGACAAAGGAGACAAACAAAGGAGACAAAAGGAGACAGAGAAGGAGACAAAAGGAGACAAAAGGAGACAAAGAGGAGGACAAAAGGAGACAAAAGATGAGACAAAAGGAGACAAAGAAAGAGATAAGGAGACACAACGAAATACGCGAAGACAAGAGGAGACACACATAGACAAAAGGAGACAAAAAGGGATAAAAGGAGATTAAAAAAGAAGAATAAGAAAAGATAAACAAAGATAAAAGGAGACACATTAATACAAAAGGAGACAGGAAACAAGAGTAAGAAGAGACAGGAGCACACAAAAGGAGACAAACAAAGGAGACAGACAAAGGAGACAGATAAAGGAGACATAAAAATAAAGGAGACAAACAAAGGAGACAAATAAAGAGACAAACAAAAGAGACAAACAAAGGAGACAAGAGAGACAGAAAGGAGACAGCTGCTTACATGCTGATTAATTAAAACAATTCCAACGTCGCTGCGATGCGTAAACTCATGAAAGGCCCTTTCTATGTCTTGCCGCTTCGTCTCTGTCAACACCCCAAACCCTAAACCCTAAACCCTAAACCCTAAACCCTAAACCCTAAAAACAACTCAGGGTCTGCGGCTGCCGCCGGAGTGGCGGGGTCTGTCCTCTAGGGCGTATCAAAGGGAATTAGGAATTAGGGTTTAGGGTTTAGGGTGTAGGGCTGTGATTGCAACCGCTCCAGGGTTTGGCTCGTAGGGGTTAACAATGAGGGTTTAGGGTTTAGGGTTTACTGCTGTCGACGACGAGGAAATTTGTACGGCCCATCCCATCCCTCATGCCGATCCCAGCCATCAAAAAACCCGCCACAGTGTCCTGAACTCACTCAAACCCTAAACCCTAAACCCTAAACCCTAAACCCTAAACCCTAAACCCTCAATGTGTCGGTGACACCCAGCAAAGCACAATCCGCACAAGCAAGCTCTCTCCTAGTTGTATGGCTAGAGAGTAAACCCTAAAACCCAAACCCTAAGCCCCAGACCCTAAACCCTAAACCCTAAACCCTAAACCCCCCAAGCCATAAACCCTAAACCCTAAACCCTAAACCCTCACTTCATCTCCGATGACACAAATTTTGAGTTCAGCAGCCCCGTGGGGCCGGATGCTGCCTCTATAGACGGCCATGGCGAGCTGCAGCACACAGACTGCTTTTACTGTTGCTGCTGCTGTTGCTGCTGCTGCTGCTGCTGTTGCTGCTGCTGCTGTCGTTGCTGCTGATCCGGCAGCAGAACCCCAGAAGCAACACCTGCTGCTGCGGTGTCTAAACTGCTGCTGCTGCTGCTTCTGTTTCTGGTGTGGATTAGTCTGTTGGTGTTGCTGCTGTTGTGTTAACTCTTGCTGCTGCCGCCGCTGCTGCTTGTGCTGCTGCTGCTGCTGTTGCTGCTGTTGCTGTTGCTGCCGCTGTGATGCGCTCAAGGCACCCTGAGGAAGTAGAAGACAGCAAATTTCTCCCCTTGGGTTTGCTGCTGCTGTTGCTGCTGCTGCTACTGCTGTTGCTGCAGTGTGCGCACGCGGGGGGCCCCCGAGGCGGCTGCCCGTACCCTTTAAGGGTTTAGGGTTTAGGGTTTAGGGTTTAGTGCTTAGGGTATATTGAATAAGGATAGAAATGCAAAGACTTTTGGTGGAGACCAAAGATGCAGCAACATCGCCAGTGAGGTATCTGCAGCAGAAATCTCGACCAGCAGCAGCAGCAGCAGCAGCAGCTGCAGCAGCAGCAGCAGCAGCAGCAGCAGCATGAGGCCCTCTCTGTTGTTGAAACGAGAGTAAGATTTTATTTGTATTTTTTGTTATTAAGTAATTTTTCTTCTTTATTTTTTCATTAGTGCTGAACAAAAGGTATAATTACTCTTTTTTCTCGCATCTTCTCCTGACTAGCGATCTTTGAGGTGCCTATACACCGCAGCTGCAGCACCGGATGCTGCTGCTCCTTCTGCTGCTGCTCCCTCTCCTGCTGTATCTTCCTTCGCATTTTCCCCCTCAACTTCACCACCCGCCTCATAGTAGCACTCTCTGAGGACACCGAACAAACCAGCAGCAGCAGCAGCAGCAGCAGCAGCAGCAGCAAGACCAGCTGCAGCAACAGCAGCAGCAACAAGCCGATCCCCCTGCAACAAGGTCGACCCGTTGCCTACGCATGAAGCAGCAACAGCAGCGGCTGCAGCAGCAACAGTCGCTGCAGCAGGAGGCATAACACAGGGCTTTAGTCTTTCCGCCAGCAGCGAGAACCGCAACAACTGCAGCAGCAGCAGCAACAGCAGCAGCAGAAGCAGCAGAAGCAGAAGCGGCAGCAGCACAGCAGTAGCAGCAGCAACAGAAGCAGCAGCAGCTACAACAACAGCAGCAGTCGCCCGGATGCTTACCTTGTATTTGTTCGGCAGCGCTCCTATCGTATGGCTTCTGTAGGCAGCAGCAGCTGCCTACAGCAGCAGCAGGCCGCTGCTGCTGCTCCTGCTGCTGCTGCAACATTAGGAGCAAATGCTGCAGCCTAAAGCACTTCTCAAGGGCTGGGGGCCCCCGGGGCCCCCTCCTCCCCCCGCGTCGATATCAGCCTTTAACTACCCCTCACAACAGCAGCAGCAGCAGCAGCTGCTGCAGCAGCAGCAGCAGCAGCAGCAATTGGCAGGGCAATATGTCCTGCAGCAGCAACCGTTGCAGCCGGAGCAGCAACTTCTGCTGCAGAAGACCATCCCAGGGCCTCCAGCTGCTGCTGCTGCGCCACAGCAGCTGCAACAGCAGCTGCTGCAGCAGCAGCAGGCGCCTCCTGTGGCGCTGCAGCATCTCCCGCAACAGCAGCAGCAGCAACAGCAGCAGCAGCAGCAGCTGCCTGTGCTGCGTCTACCTGAAAGCTGCCCCGAGTATGATCAGCTTGAGGTGTCTGTACACCCTATCAGTCTGCAAGCAGCGCGAGTTGAAGTGTGGGGTTCAAGAGACACTCCGTTCCCTGCACTGATGCTGTGGCTCTCTTACCAGGTAAACCCTAAACCCTAAACTCTAAACCCTAAACCCTAAACCCTAAACCCTAAACCCTAGGATCTAGGCTTTAGTTTGCTGTAGTTGTCGTCTTGGAGTTTCTCGTGCTGCAGCTGCTGCTGTTGTGCTGCTGTTGATAGAGGTGGTGCTGCTGCTTAGCTGCTGCTGGTTTTACCGTTCCTGCTGCTGCTGCTGTTCCTGCTGCTGCTTCCGCTCTTACTGCTGCACATGCTGCTGCTGCTGCTGCTGCTGCTGTGGGGTTTAGAGAAAGTATGTGTTTGTTTGGGGTGTATGTACAGCCCTACGATCCTCCCAGCAGCGGGAGGCTTTATACAGTGAACATACCGCAGCAGCTGCTGCAGACGCGAAGAAGTCAGCTGCTGCTCGGTGCTGCTCTCTCTGCTGCTGCTGTCTCTCCGCAATTTGCTGCTGAGGGGCACCTCATAGTGCGGCTGCCTACAGACGGAGATGAAACAAACACAAAAACATTTATTCTAGAAAGAAAAGGACCTGTAGGCTCACGTGCTGCTGCTGCTGCTGCTGCTGCTGCTGCTGTTGCCGCACATGCTGCTGCTGCTGCTGCTGCACATGCTGCTGCTGCTGCAGATGCTGCTGCTGCTGCAGATGCTGCTGCTGCTGCAGATGCTGCTGCTGCTGCAGATGCTGCTGCAGATGGCGTCCTTGCACATTGTGCTGCTGGTGCAGATGGTGCTGCTGCTACGCATGCTGCTGCTGCTGCTGCTGATATTGTTGCAAGTGCTGCTGCTGCTTTGTTTTGGTTTGCTTTCGCTGCTTTTTCAGCTGATGCTGCTGCTGTTGCTGCTGCAGATGCTGTTTTTTTATTGCTGCTGCTACTGTCTCTTCTTGTTATGTCTGCTTCAGGCTGGAGCTCTCCTTGCGCCTGCTGCTGCATGCACAGCCCCTGCAGCAGCAGCAGCAATATCTCCAGCAGGAGCAGCAGCAAGTTTCTGCTCACCGGTGGCTCCGTCAACAGCTGCAGGAGCAGCAGCAGGAGCAGCAGCAGCAGTACGAGAGCAGCAAGTAGCAGCAGCATGCTTCCGCTCTCTATATCAGAGACAAACAGGCTGTCTTGCGCAGTATATACACGACATTGCTTCTCTATCATCTCAATTAGGAGCAGCAAGCAGCAGCAATAGAAATGCCTCCTTCGGTGTCTCTTCTTTTAAAAGAGACAGCAGCAGTGCAGCAGACCCCAGCATACACTCCACATGCGACCCTGCTGCTGCTGCCGCTGCTGCTGCAGCGGCAGCAGCAGCAGCAACAGCAGATACTTTTGCTGCTCTCCCGGTAAGGCAACCGTTAAGGGCGCCCTTGCAGCAGCAGCAGCAGCAACAGCAGCACCAGCAGCAGCAGCAGCTGCAGCAGCTGCAGCTGCAGCCACTTTTAGGAACCTGTCAGCCGCATTTGCTTCGGTTTGTGCATGCGCCTTGTTGTGTGTTTTGCTGCAGTATGTGCAGCGGCAGCAACTGCTGCTGCAGCAACAGCAGCAGCAGAATTTGAGTAATCGCTTGCTGGGGCTTGAAGCAGCAGTGCAGCGGCTGCTGAACCGCGAGATAAGCCGCTCGTCTGCTGCAACAACTGCAGCAAACTGTCTCCAAACTGCAGCAGATAACAGAGACAGTGGAGACAGCAGAAGGTCAAATGCTGTGAGGCTGCTGCGCAACCTTTCCCTCTCGCGCCTGTCTCCTGCTGTCTCCTGCTGTGTCCTGCTGTCTCCTCTTGTCTGCTGCTGTCTTTGTCTGTCTGCTGCTGTCTCTGTCTGTCTGCTGCTGTCTCTGTCTGTCTGCTGCTGTCTCTTCTGCTGCTGTCTCCTCTTCGTTGCTTCTTTCTCCCTCTGTCTCCTTTTGTCGTTTGCTGTCTCTGTCTTTCTCCGGCTGTCTCCTGCTGCTGCTGCTGTCTCCTGCTTTGCTGCTGCTGCTACTTTCTCCTCCTTTGCTCGTGCTGCTGCTGCTGCTGCTTCTGGTTCGTTCGCTGCTGCTGTGTCTCTTATCTTTGTTTGTAAAGCCCTCTTCAATCTGTCTCCTTGTTGCTTGCTGCCTCTGTCTCTGCTGTCTCTGGAGTCTCTCAGCATTTGCAGCTGTCTCTTTCTGTCTTTTTTACTGTCTCTGTTTGTATCTTCTTTTTTTTGCGGTGTCTGCGTTATCGGTCTGTCTCTTCGCGCTGCCTCCGCTGTCTGTCTCCTTTGCTGTCTCCTTCTGTCTCTAGTTCGTTTTCTGTCTCTTTGCTGCTGTCTCTTTGCTGCAGCAGCAGCAGGCAAGACTGAAGGGCACCCTGAAGCGAGCACCAGCAGCAAAAGCAGGTGCATCTGCAGCAGCTGTTGGTAGGCAGTCAGCAGCATCAGCATTTCTGTCGGCAGCAGCAGAAGCAGCAGATGATGCAGCAGCGGATGATATAAACAATCTACCTGCTGAAGGGAAGGAGAAGCTCAGGTTGCTGCAGGACCAGCAGCAGCAGCAGCAGCAGCAGCAGCAGCAAGTGGAGGAGACAGTCCCCTTTTCTGCGCGTCTCCGTTCAGGCAGCGGTGTTTTAGGGTTAAGAGACACGGATGGGTTCAGCAGCTGCTACAGCAGCAGCAGCAGCAGCACACAACCACCCAACAACCAAGCAGCAAAAGCTGCAGCGGCAGCAGCAGCAGCAGCAGCAGCAGCAAAGTCGCGGCGCAGAGATCGCCGCATACATTCTATGAAGACAAGAGACTCTGTCTCTAGTGTCTCTTCTTCTTCTTCTCGTTCGTCTGTCTCTGCCTTTGAGGCAGCAAGACGGCGGTGGAGAGAAAGGAGACAGAGACAGCAGCAGCAGCAGCAGGAGGAAGAAGAAGAAGAAGAGGGTAGACACAGAGATGTATCTCTTGCTAATCCCTCTCCTGCTTTAAAAGAGCATGTACAAAGGATGATGCTGCGTGCAGAACGTGCAGCAGCAGCAGCAGCTGCTGCTGCTGCAGCAAAAAACAAGAGAAAGAGCGAGGCTGGAGCAGCAAACGACAGCAGCAGCAACGCTGAAGCAGATGCAACCCCAGCTGAGTTTGAGCTGCTGTTTAACCACTGGTCTCTTTCTGCTGCAGCACTTCAGGAAGCAGAAATTACTAGTCTTGTAAAGGAATTAGCAGAGCTGCTGCCGCTGCGGCGCAGCCGCAGCAGCGCAGCAGCAGCAGCAGCAGCAACAGCAACACCAGCAGCAAAGCGGGAGGGAAGAAAAATTGGTGCTGCTCGTGAAAGCAGCACCGATGAAGAGCGAAGAGGAGATAGAGACACAACAGCAGCCAGGCTTAGAATGATAAAGGAGACAGCAACAGATGACAGCAGGCTTAGCAGCACGCACTGCAGCAACATCAGCAGCAGCAGCAGCAGCAGCAGCAAAAAGGTTTCTTTCCCATCAGAGTGTGTTGAAACTACAAGCCAGGAGTCAGCTGCTAGGGTTGTTGACGCAGCAGCAGCAGAAGCATCAACAGCAGCAGCAACAGCCGCAGCAGCAGCAGCAGCAGCAGCAGCAGCAGAAAGTGCTGCCCGTGCTGCAACAGCAAAAGCAGCAGCAGCAGCAGCAAGAACCCAAGGCATTAATCTGTCTCCTCTTGATGAAGAGACAAATGTCCCTAACGGTATTCTTCTTCCTTCACAAAGAAGAATTGTTAATCAGGAAGTGCCCCCTGTTGGTGTTGCTTCAAAAGAAGCAGCAGCAGCAGCAGCAGCAGCAGCAGCAGCAGCAGCAGCAACAGCAGCAGCAGCAGCAGCAGCACCAGCAGCACCAGCAGCGGCTGGGCCCTCACGAAAAGCACCAGCAGCTGTTCCTGCTGCAGCCGCCTCCAGTGCAACGCCAGCAGGAACAGCAGCAGCAACAACAACAAAAGCAGCTGCAGCAACCACAGCAGCAGAAGCAGCAGAAGCAGCAAAGTCAGTTTCAGATCGGCTGCGCGAGTTAAGAAACTGCGGGGAGGTAGTAGTACCTAGCAGTAGCAGTAGCAGCAGCAGCAGCAGCAGCAGCAGCAGGGGCCCCCCACCCTCTTCAGGGGCTTTGCTAAAGGGAGTGGTGTCTCCTCGGCTGTCTCCTCAGCTGTCTTCTTTGCTGTCTCCGCGTGCTGCTAGATCTGCACAGAGCAGCGCGTTTCTGTCTCCTCCTGCTGCAGCTGGGAAGGGCAACAGCAACAGCAGCAGCAGCCGCAGCAGCAGCAGCAGCAGCAGAAGGTGCGCAACTCCTCTCCACGGCAATGAAGTAGAAGCAGAATTAGATTTAGGAGAAGACGCAGCAATGCATATGGGCTCTAAGGTCTTCATTAAAACAGAAGAAGAGTATGCAGCATGCCCCGGCAGCAGCTGCTGCAGCAGGAGCAGCAGCAGGAGCAGCAGCAGGGGCAGCAGCTGCTCCTGCGAGAACAGCAACATCAGAAGGAGCAGCACCAGCAGCAGCAGCAGCAGCAGCTATTATAGCGAGCTGTTCCTGTTTGTAGAGCAGCAGCAGCAGCAAGACGACGAAGAGGAGACAAACCCAAGAGCAAATTTATTATTTGAGGCCGCAGCAGTGCATGCAGCTTCTCCTAGAAAGCCCCCAGAAGCAACAGCAGCAGCACCAGCAGCAGCACCAGCACCAGCAGCACCAGCAGCAGCAGCAGCAAAAAAGAAGCCCCCTGTACCTCCTCTAAGAAGCAAAAGCGAACGGGGACAGAAGCTGAGTGGAAATGTGCATGCAAATGCTTTAACTCCGGTGTCTCCGCGAAGGGCAAGAGACTCCCCCTCAGCAGCAGCAGCAGCAGCAGCAGCACCACCACCAGCAGCATCAGCACCAGCAGCAGCAGCAGCAGCACCAGCAGCAGCAACAGGGGGCTCCAGGGGAGGAGGGACTCTGACGCCTCGGGGTTTGAAGTCATCTCCAAGAGACAAAAAGGAGACAAACCGCAAACCAGCAGCAGCAGCAGCAACAGCAGCAGCAGCAGCAGGAGACAAAGTTCTTTCTCCTCGATCACCAACTACAAGCAGAGCAGGCACCCCTCGCAAACAGCAGCAGCAGCAACAGCTGCAGCAGCAGCAGAGGCTTCAGGAAGGGCCTGCTGCATCTCTTGCTGGAAGCGCTGGGTCTCCGCTTTCAACGGGGAGACAGTCGCGCCCCCCGCCGCAGCAACAGCAGCAGCAGCAGCAGCAGCAGCAACAGCAGCAGCAGCAGCAGCGGGGTGCTGCAAGCAAGGAGACACCTAAGCATCGGGGGCCCCGCGCGCAGCAGGTTGCGGTCAGCGGGAGAGCGAAGGAGACTACTGGGGATCGTCTTAAGCTCGATCCCAAGGTAATGAAAGTATTTAGAGAGAAGCAGCAGCAGCAGCAGCGAGCTATGCAAGATCTAGAGAAGCTGTGCGACTTATTAAAGAGACAGAATTCGCAGGAAAAAGAAACAGAAGCAGCAACACCATCAGCAGCAACAGCATCACCAACAGCAGCAGCATCACCAGCAGCTGCAGCAGCAGCAGCGAGAAATAAGCCAGGCAACGATAAACACCAGCAGCAACAGCAGAAGCAAAAGCAGAAGCATCACGGGCAGCATGAGCAGCAGCAGGAACAGCAAGAGCAGCAGCATCCGCCTCAACAACAGCAGCAACAGCAGCAGCAGCAGCAACAACAGCAGCAACAGCAGCAACAGCAGCAGCAACAGCAGGAGCAGCAGACGGGAGGAGTGCTAGAAGACATAATAAAGAACAGCAACCTCGCAGCAAATCTGAGGAAACTAGAGGTAGAGCATCTGCAGCCGCAGCAGCAGCAGCAGCAAAGTTTAGCTTTAGCTATATCTGAGAGTCTTGCTGCACTTAAGACATCTATACATATGCTGGAAGCAGCAGAGAGAGACAGGAGAGAGGAGAAGGAAGCAATTAAAGATGTGCTGCTGCAAGCAGAGAGGGACAGACAAGAAGCGTTCAATGAAGCTTTAGAACGCGCGCAGCAGATGTCTGAGGAGGCACAGAAGAGACAACAAGAAGAAGAGAGAAAGAGACAGCAGCAGATTGATATGCTCCAGAAGCTACTCAAAGAAAAACAGCAGCAGCAAGATAACCTACAAAAACAAATACAAACTCTACAGAACTTTCAAGCTAGCTCTGCATGCATACTGCTAAGCCCACCGCCTGAAGTAACAGCAGCAGCAGCAGCAGCAGCAACAGCAGCAGCAGCAGCACAAGGAGCAGCAGCAGCAGGAACGGAAGAAGCAGCAACAGGTGAAGGAGCAGCAGCAGCAACAACAACAGCAACAGCAGCAGCAGCAGCAGCAGCAGCAGGAAGGCCCCAGGGGGCCCCTGGGGGCCCCGGAAGCCTCTCTGAATTATTAAAGATAACGGGGTGTCTAGGGAGACTAAGTGCAGCAGAAAGAGACAGTTTTTTAATTGCTGCGAAAGCAGCAATAAAAGCAAAAGATAAAGAAGAGATAGAAAAAGAAGAAAGAGATAAAACTCTTAAACATATACTCAATGCAGCTACACAAGCCTGGAGGGATATAAAAGAAAAAGAAAGAGACACTGAAGAAGGAGACACCGCAGCAGACAAACAACAAGCCTACAGACTCCAACAAGTGAGACAAAAAGGAGACAGACAAAAATATACAAAAATAAAAAGAGACAGACAGAGAAATACAAACAACAAATATATATATATATATATAGAGAGAGAGAGAGAGAGAGACAGACAGACAGAGAGAGACAGAGAGAGAGAGACAGACAGACAGACAGAGACAAGGAGAGACAGACAGAAATAAAGAAGGAGACAGAACGAGAAATAAGCAGGGGCAAAGAAATAAATGGAGACAGAGATAGACAGAGACAGGGAGACAGATAGAGAGACAGATAAAGCCAAAGAAAGAGACAGACAGAGACAGAGACAGACAGAGACAGAAAGATAAAGGGAGACAAAAAGAAATAGAGAGATATATTAACGGGGACGGAGACAGACACATGTACAGATAGAGACAGAAAGAGAGACAGAGAGACAATAGGAGGCAAATAAACAAGTAGAGACAAAAATAAAACCTGTGTGGGTCTAGGGTTTAGGGTTTAGAGGCTAGGGTTTAGGGTTTTGGGGTTTCGAGACTAGGGTTTAGGGTTTACAGCCTAGGCTTAAGTGTTGAGGGGTTTAGGGTTTAGGGTTTAGGGTTTAGGGTTTAGGGTTTAAGGCATTTTGCTCATGTAGCAGCTGTTGTATTGGTTTGTCTTTGCGTCTCTGTCTGTCTCTGTCTGTCTCTGTCTGTCTCTGCCTGTCTCTGTCGGTCTCTGTCTGTCTCTGTCTGTCTCCTTTTCTCTCTGTCTGTCTCCGTTTGTCTCTCTCAGTTTTTCTTGTGCTTCATAGTGTTAGCTCCTGTCTCCTTTTATCTCCTCCTGTCTCCTCCTGATCTCCTTTTGTCTCCTTTTGTCTCCTTTTATCTCCTTTTTATCTCCGTCTGTCTCCTTTTGTCTCCTTTTGTCTTTTTTAGGCTGCAGAGACACTGGAGAGTTCGACAGAGGCAATTCTTCGCTGTTCTTTTTGTGCTGTAACGGAGGCTTTAAAGACATTCTCGGACTCCAAGGAGACTGCTGCTGCTGCTGCTCAGTTGCAGCAGCAGCTGCAGCAGCTGCAGCAACAGCAGCAGCAACAGCAGCAGCAACAAATGTTCGCCGCTAAAAACCCCAAAGAAAAACAAAAGGCTTTAGAGGAAGCAGCACTAGAGAAGCTCAACGAAGCAAAGAAAGCAGTGAGACTCTGCGAAAAAATAAAATTTAGGGTTTAGGGTTTAGGGTTTAGGGTTTAGGGTTTGCATTTAGGGTTTAGTGCTCAGGCTCGTGTGTAAGTAAGGTGAAGGTGTCTCCTTTTGTCTTCCTTTTGTCTCCTCCCCGTTGAGGTGTCTCCTTTTGTCTGTCTCCTTATTTTCTGGTGTATGTCTCTGTGCATATCCAGCGCTCAACTCTCACTCCTGTTGCTTTTCCTGTCCCTGCTGCTGTTGCTGCTGCTGCTGTTGCTGCTGCTGCTGTTGCTGTTGGTTTTGTTGCTGCTGCTGTTGCTGCTGCAGTACCTGGAGGCTGCAGCAATATTAGAGGAGGAGACAGGAGAGCTGGAGACACTAAGCCACCGGTCTACAGCCCCAAGTACTCTAAGAGCGTCTCCTTCTTCTGCTTTGTTGCCGTCCTTAAGAAACTCATCATATTATAACTCTAAACCTTCTCTTGCTGATATACGCGAGTGTCTCCTGTCTCCTTTAGCAGCAAGAAGAGAGACAGGTCTCTTACTCTTGAAGAAATGCCTTGCACAGTTCCTCGCTGATCCCCATAACAGCTGCAGCAGCAGCAGCAGCAGCAGCAGAAGCAGCAGCAAGAGCAGGAGGGAAGCAGCAGAGAGGAGGGCAAAGGCGAAGATTCTTTTTAAGAGGTTAGAGTTGCTGTGTAGGCCTCCAACTCCTCCAGAAGAAGAAGCGTCTCCTCAGCATACACCTGAAGATATAAACTGTCTCCTTTCTGATAATCTAAAAGGAGACAGTTTGTTTGTCACAACACAGGGAATGCAACCCAGAATCGTTGCTGTAGGAAAGACACCGCAAAGAGACAAACTACCTGACACGCAGGTAAACCATTATAACCCATTCTAGGGTTTAGGGTTTAGGGTTTAGGGTTTAGGGGATAGGGTTTAGGGTTTAGGGTTTAGGGGATAGGGTTTAGGGGATAGGGGTTAGGGTTTAGGGGTTAGGGATTAGAGTTAGATGAGCTCCTCGTGCGTACGATCTAGGGGGCAGGGTTTAGGGTTTAGGGTTTAGGGTTTAGGGTTTATGCATTTGGGTGGTGCGTATATTACATAATTCTGTTTCTCTCTCGGGTATATTCTTGCGGGGTTAAAAGCTCCTGCTTTATGTATATATATATTTATTTATTTATATATTTATTTATTTATATATTTATTTATTTATTTGTCTCTTTGTGTGCAGCAGAAGCACAAAGGAGACTTGGATTTAAAGATAACTGTCTCTGCTACAGGAGACCGCCAGGTGTCTGTACACCCCGGTGTCCCTCCTCCTATTTATCCTACGCCCTATGAAATTCGTCTCCTTGGTGAGGTGTATGGGGAGATAAAATAAAAGGAGACAGTTAAAACAAATAAACGATAAACAGAGACAGACAATAGGATGTGTTTATGTATTTATTTTATTATAATTATAATTATACTTATATTTATAAAACAATTATAAGTATATAAATACTTAAACACTTCTTCTTTTGGGGTGTATACAGTGAAGAGACAATTAAAACAAATAAACAACAAAGAGAGAGATAGAATAAAGAAAGAAAAACTTAATGTCTAATAAACTGGTAGCAGCAAATACCTTTAACCTGTTGAGATGCTGCAGCAAGAGGAGACAGAGAGGGAGACAGAAAGGGATATAGACAAGCAAATTGTCTGTCTCCTTTTATGTGTCTCTCTGTCTCCTTTTGTGTGTCTCTCTGTCTCCTTTTATGTGTCTCTTTCTTTATACAAACTATACTTCTCTCTCTTTTACTCTATACACCCCATTTTAATCTTCTGTCTCTTCTTGTCTCCTCTCTCTCTCTCTCTCTCTCTCTCTCTGTCTCCTGTCTCTCTCTGTCTCCTTTTGTCTTTGTCTTACTGTCTGTTTCTCTCCTGTTTGCCTCCTTTTCTTGCAGGCAGCAGCGTCGTAGCAGCTCAGGCCACTGCAGGGGCCCCCGGTGGCGGTGGGGGGCCCCCTCATGGAGGTGGGGGCCCCCACGGAGGGGGGGCCCCCCATGGAGGTGGGGGCCCCCATGGGGGTGGGTCCCCACACGGAGCGGGGGGCCCCCATGGTGGGGGGTCACCTCATGGAGGGGGGGCCCCCCAT